CCACTTGATAAAAGCATACGTTGTTAAAAAGGACTACTTAAGAAGGGTGTACGTTCTCAGTTATTTATAATTCTCTTCTAATGTATAACAAACATTAACAAACATATTCTTTCTTGTACTCGATTCGCAGCAAATTATGCCTTCTACAAAATGTAAACGTGAAGGAAACATGCTTTCTGTTTTAAATTGTTTTGATCATGAGATTTTTTTAGGACTGAAGTATACAACATGGTCAACCTTCACTGTGTAATGTTTCTTTGACAGAGTATAGAGAGCATGCAGTTCAGAACTTTTGAACGCAAGTGTACGGCAAGTTGGGTTCAGTATGGGGTTTCCCAAAAATATATATACACATCTTATTTTTTCCAATGACAACCTTGTATAATGCGATAGACAGGTGAGTTTGAAATTCCACCCTCACGGTAGACTTTCTCGGACTTCGCTGAAAAGGTTTCAGTACGCTTTCTTCCTGTGTAACGCTCGTTAATTATCGTAGTCTTCCAGAACGCTTTTCGTGAACATTCTAAACAGTTTCAAACTTATCCCTTATTCGAGTGAAGGTAACTCGCCTCGGAGATTCTTTTTTAAATTCCATCCTAAACTGTTTTTTTCAATTCTACTGAATTTTCACACTTCCAATAGCATTTTAGAATAAATGTTCATTCTTCGAAGTTTAGGCTGGTTATCATTACTTTGTTCAAGAATTGAATGTGCAATAATGTGCCTTTCATTCCACTTTTCAGATGGAAAGAATTAAACAACAAACGAAAAGTAACTCAGTAAACCAACAAAGTTGTTCAAACGACCCAGTGCTTAATCTTGTTAATCTTCTCCTGACTTCGAATTTTCCAAGTCGTGGAGCTGGCCAAATCCTAGATTCCAATCTGTGCAGTCAGCAATCGAACTTGACTGGGAGTCGCATGCATCTAGGCACACCTGCGAGCAGCTCTGGCCCTGTAGAGACCATCTGTGGAAGCGAAGCGCAAAGCAAGTTTGCGCGTTGGCGAGGCTCTAATACGGCCTATCATGAAATGCACGAGAGAGGATCTTTACACCCCGCCCCTCAATACGGCCCGATATGGCTCCCGGATATGCGCTGCGCAATGGCGGACGGCAACGCTGTGGAAGTGAAGCATGAAATGACGCTCTCTAACGATCTTATTGGTTGCGTTATTGGTAGAGGTGGCGCCAAAATAAATGATATTCGTAGGGTAAGCTACCCTTATTTCTTCCTAGACTGCTGGAAATAATTAATAATGCAGAATATATCAAAGTGAAACCATGGTCCTTAAATAAAAGCCCAGACACATATTTCGCCAATATTATGTTGCTGTATAACACACCTGTTAGAGGATTCGATTAATCAGTGGGGCTTTTAGCGTTCTCTGTGTGCTTTGTAATAGATAACCCTGGTTTTTATCTCTGAAGATAGAAATTCTTAACTTAGAGTAATTCCATCAGAATTAAGCTTTCGGACTCCGCCGATAAGGCCCAATTCCAACCAAGTTACTCCAAGTTACTGATTAATATTTTAGGAGCTCAATTGACAGCAACAACTAAAATGATTTACCTTAATGGGTAATTAAAAATTAATGATCGAGCTCATTCAGAAAGCGAAGAATGAATAATTTTAGGCAACTATAGCATTTGGATTATACATTTGTGGAATTCTATGTTAATAAGCGTTGCAATATAATTTATTGGGGTGGAAATGTAAAATCGGTGCCCACTGAACTGTGTGTAACGAATATTCCATTGATTGGATAATAAGAAGGTAGACTAGGTAGAAGATAGGCAGTAATTGTTTGGGTTATAAATGTTTACGATAGCGTGACCGTCCTAGTAAAGAAGAATTAACTGCTCTCTTAACAATCCGTTATATATGTCCATTCCAATCAATGGTACTCATGAGAAATTGTTGTTGTCGTTTGCTATTATTCGGGCGGCTAGGAGCGTGTACCTGAGTTTAAATTGAGTAAGGTATGCTTCAAAATTGAGATGGCAATGGTTATGGACGGAATTGATGTTTCGCCACCTTTGCTGTGTTTATATTTTAGGTACAAAACACATAAAATGCGTTTCTATATAAACTCAATTTATTCAAAATTGTTTTTTAGATTTCTAAAGCCCACATTAAAATATCGAACGCGGAGGAGTGGACCGACATCAGACGAATAACTGTTACCGGGAATCCGAATGCAGTTGATACAGCAGTTCAAATGATCGAGAGCAGGTATGGTTTAAGGTGTGCCTGTCAAAACTCTGAACTCACTTACTGACTATTGTTCTTAAAAATATTGTCGCGTTTATTTTTTTGTAGTGTGCACCTACACAAACAGCTTTTGGCAATGAATATTGCTATGGAAATCGTTTATAACAATCGGCGGACAACAAACTAATTGGTGGCCTCGACGTTTCTTCCTTCTCCAATTCCCTGTTCATATATATATATACAATTACCCAGAACTCCTCCTATAAAAAGACATTTCCTCAAATTCACTTATTCACAATGTGCAAAGAAGTTCGCTGTTTCAAATGCTATTTGTTTAAGCAATCCCTAAACTAATTGGGTCAAGTGTAATGAGTTTACTGGCCAGACTTTAATGGAATAAAGTTTCGTAGAAGCCCCTTTACTTGCTTGTATTTTGTTTAAAGCATAAGGACTAGATGGTACGGAAAATGTTGCGTAAATATTTAACAAACAAATCCCCTAAACTATATGAGCCTGCTGAACAGTGCATGCTCCAATAGATTACGGAATTACCTTGAAATACAGCGTTTGCTTATCGTAAACTAGGTAGTGCCATTGCTCTTCGTTAATTTCTAGGAAGTGCGAAGGAAATATAACGCTAAAAAGGATCCGTTTTTGTATGCAACTCCAAAGCAGCTAGGGCGATGGCATTCCTGTTTATGGAAACCTATCACAAACGACGTTTTTAACCATTATCAAGACGCACATGGAATATGGTCTCAAATGCTTCCTTTATTTAGCAGTGAAAAATGCATTAACGTTGAATAGGACACTATCTAACTCGCTTTCTTTAAAGGACTGAAGGCCTTCTTGCTTTATGTTTAATCCCTCTTCTTCACAAGCTCTGTATGTCAGCTAGTCTCAAGGCACTGTACATCATTAAGTAGATTACGACTCAGTCTTACGAGCTTGTGTTTACTTCAATACTGGCCTGCAATTTACGAGAAAATCACATATTAATTTGATTGGATTGGACGAAAATGTGTCAGTGCTGACTTTCAAGTATTCTTATGGATAACGTAACTATAGGATTTCTCTGCACCTACATAAGTGCAGTTGGGAACGGCAAGTCTATGTCGTCGATATACATTTGTATGCCCTTTCTAAGTGCCTAATTTAAAAATAGACTTGCTGAGACTGAGACAAGGATGCCGCTGACGCCAGATCCAATGCAAGATGTTTGTCTCCCTATAAAAGTGCATATTTGTCTGCCGTATCTGCTGATAGCAAGTACCACGCCTCCAATTGAGTAGGAGTGGATGCTTTAGTGGTTTACGCGTCACACATTGACTTGAATATGGCGGAAATTCAATTTGTTCACAGGATCGCTCTTAATTCTCCGTTGAATGCACGGCCTTGCTAACTTCTGCATTCACTGTAGCGCTAACTAGGAGTTTACAGTTTCGAAGAAGAAGATGCGATCACTGGAACAAGGACTTCATTTTCCTGACGTTTCGGATTCCGTCGGGAATCCTTAGTCATATGTAATCGTACTGTCCTGACGTTTCGGATTCCGTCGGGAATCCTTAGTCATAGGTAATCGTAAGCCTGAGACATGCGCAGTTTAGCATTTGTTCTAACGTGCAAAAACTTGGACTTGAATGCTTCATGGCATTTGAAAATATTGCTCATTTCTACGGTGGTTCAGTTCTGTTAGCAGCGCATTAAAAGCTAATGAGTGAATATGGCCAGAGAATAAAACGTGTTTCTCGTATCGTTGGCTCTAAATTGTCATGTTTTCAAAATATATTCATGTGGTGGCGGAACCCCTGGTGATAGCATTGAAGAAGCATAAACTATTGATATCTGTTTTAAATCCTAATTTGAACAATAATGTTTTAAAGCTTGTTATACATTACTAAATGAATTATTTATTTGCCAAATTGAACTGCATGCGTACTTGATTTGGCCAGCTATTTTTAGAAATCCAACAAAGCTTCAGCATCAAGTTTACGTCAGGTCTTTATTATTATATTCATCCTTGTAAATGCCTAGTATGCAAGAATGCGATAATGGTTCTCACTATTAGAGGAGGCGAATGTTGTGCTTTGATGAAAGGATTTCATAATTCTTACTGTTTATGGGTTGAGATGGGAAACCTTTATACTCCTAGTTCTCAGTCCATCACTTATATTACTTTTTAAAGATTAATTTATTTTTGTTATTTTCATGATCAGGATGCAAACAGACAACATCGAGTCAGACAGCTTATTGTCCTTCGGAAACGTTTCTTCATTAATTAGCAGCAGGCAGTCATTAAAAGTTGAGTTACCCTTAAAAGTATGCATATCGCACCTTACTCGAGAACTGTATTTGGGGTTTACCCACCTCAAAATTGAAACGTCACCTCAGCACTAAGGCTGAATAAGCAGCAGGCAAAAACATGTGTCATTTAAATGTTGTGCATCAGTGCATAAAAACGCATACATTTTCCTGGTATGTTTGCAGAGTTGCCGCAGCTAATCGTAAGACTAACAGACAAAGATTTAGATGGTTGGTGCTTAGGCGAGTCTCCATCGGCTCTGTAATGGCGTGTGAATTTACGTTTTTTTCCGTAAGTTCCCTAGCAAATGCATAATGTATTGCACAAATGAACGATATCAATGGATTCCCCTATGTAAATTAACAGGTGGTACGTGAGTTAAATTCAAACGAGCTATAAATTGGAGCATTTTAGAAGAGGTTTAACGGAATCCTTATAAAAACATTAGAATACAAGAAAAAATAACCGAAATAGTAAAAAGGCACTTCAATCTGGAATACGAGGACTACATCAGACTTTGCCTGACTAAAGAACTGTAATAATAGGACTTGAATATGAGGGTGTTTTTTTATCCAACCAGCGATCTTACTTCTTTAAAATTACCACTCGAGTATTATCTATTTTGTAACTTATTTCTGGCGACTTTATAGAATGAGTCATATGCCAGAGGAGAATATAAAATCATCTGTTACTCACTGTTTATAGTGACATATTTTATGTTGAATATTTCATGCATAC